GTACTCATGTTTAAAATATTTCAAAAAAAATAAATTAATAACAAGTATAAAACTAAATTTATACTATATAAATGAAGAATTTAATCAACTTGTCGTGCTGTACTTTTTTTAAAAATCGCGTGTCAACGTATGCGACACATATCGTGTCGAACACACTTGTCCGTGCCAATGCATCATTGCCTTCAGCTATGACATCTTCATTAACTAATCCGTGTATCAAATTTTGTACTCATGTCCAGTTTTAATTATTTCTAGACAACCAGCCAACAACATACTAGAGTATCATTCTCAATAAATTTGTTATCGATTGAACGAATTATTTTCAGTCACTGATTCATTCAATGCCAAACAGCCGAAACTTATTCAACGTATTGACAAACTTTTGATCGACTGATCTTCTCATGGGGGATTCCTTACATTATATAGGAAGTTTATTACCTTATACAACTATGGTAATAACCTAAATATGATAAACACAATTATATACATAATTACGTTAAATCATAATCTTCGTCATTATGGTCAATTTCCATGATTTATGTCTATCTCATTGACAAATATTTTCATATTAAGAATCTTTTTGATCTTCGTAAAATTGATAACAATTGAAATCCATATGTCATTTTCTGAAAATAATATACAAGTCCAATATGCCTTTAGATTTTGCTTAAAACCTAAGTAGCAGATAATAACAAGCTACTTTGGAACTCTTTTCCTCTTACCAACTTCTTGACATCCTTATAAATTTCAGTCACTTCAAATCTGTCCATTTTTTAAGACACGGAGTTGTGGAATTTGTTAATCCTTACAACATGTCCAAACAATATAGTACACAACATGATATAGAGAAGAGCAGATGTATTGCGAAACAGAAGGAAAAACCAAACTGCAACATTTTGTCAAAACACTTCAAGAAAATTTACCCAATTGGGATACATAGAACTTGTTCTTCACCCCTTTCTTTATCTTCTTTGTCGTTATCTTTGTCACAGAACTCAACTGATTCTTCCTTGACAGCAGATTCTTCCACTCCACTTGATCAGAAAATCTTATCAGCACTACGGTTGATAGCGCCACCTGAACGAAGAGAGGTCCATGTGACTAAAATTATCCGTCAACCTAGTGCAAGTCCTACCGAAGAAGGAGGCAGAAGGAGGTGTAACTGGATCACGAGCAACAGTGGTAAGACTTATCTGACTCTTCTTAGCTTGCAAATGAAAAACATCCTTATTTTTTGTTAGTAGTATATAGTTAAACCAACTCGTCAAAGAGCTAAGTTTTATCGTGTGACAAAATTGTGATTATGGTTTTTCCTTACCAGCATTGATTCATGTGGCTCTTCTTAAAGTTATAGCATGAAATAAACAAACAAAATCCTATCGAATCACCTCATCTAAAAGCTTAAACAACCTAAGCATTTTTGTGGGTCAAAAGTTGCGATTATGATTTTTCCTTGTATGCATTAATTCAAGTGACGGCTGGAGATACTTGTAATATGAATATCAGATGATTTAATGAACAGAAAAAGCTTATGTACAATTCCACGATGAATGCTGGGGAGTTCCAGTTTATGATGACAATCAGTTGTTTGAGCTGCTTGCATTGTCTGGGATGCTTATGGATTTTAACTGGACAGAAATCTTAAAAAGGAGGGAACTTCTGAGGTTAGAATTTCTGCTTGTAATTTGATTTAAATGTATATATTTTAATACGATACACGGATTCTTAATGCAATCTTGTGTTTTGGATAATAACACAGAGAATCTTTTGCTGGTTTTGATCCCAACAATGTGTCTAAAATGGGAGAAAATGAGATTCTTGAAATAGCCTCCAATAAAGAGCTGACTTTAGCGGAAAGCAGAGTTAGGTGCATAGTAGACAATGCAAAATGCATAACAAAGGCAAGTCTTTTCTATTGTGTTTACACTAAAGAAAAAAATAATAATAAAAAATTGTGTCTGCCATCTAGCATAGAACAAACTATTTCAGGATGTAGCTTATATCGAAATGCTAATTGCATTACGGTTTGATCTTTTTATAGATTGTGAGGGAATTTGGATCATTCAGTAGCTACATGTGGGATTATGTGAGTTACAAACCAGTGATCAACAAATTCAGATATCCTAAAAATGTACCTCTGAGGAGTCCAAAAGCTGAGGCCATGAGCAAGGACTTGTTGAAACATGGGTTCCAGTTAGTGGGGCCCGTTATCGTGTATTCGTTCATGCAGGCATGTGGGATGACAATTGATCATCTTGTTGATTGTTACAGATATAGTGAGTGTGTAAATCTTGCAGAAAGGCCTTGGAGACATGTCTGATATATGTACAGTTCAGTTAGAATCGCTGCAGAATGATTTTTCCATTTTCTTGAGTTTTTTGTCATAATTTAAAATTTATATTGTGTAATTTTATGATTGATTTGGAAAAGAAAATGTTGCTACCTATGTTAATCACTATAGCAATGGTTTTTCTTTGAGGAGCTATTTATGTCACTAATTATGTAAATATATCAGTAATTATCGAGATAATATTCTTATTGCAGTAAAATTCAAAAATACAAACCAAGGTCAGCATACTGATTGATAAGATTTTGGAATAAAAATTAAGTAAATTTCTTTATTCTCATTGATGGAGAGGCCTTGTTTCTCAAAAACTTGACTTCTGATGGAGACTTTCACCAAAAATGATATGCTTATCTCCTTAGCTGGCTTTGATTTGTACATACAGTTCATCTTTCATTGCTACCAATGACAAGAAAGCATCGAGAAAATTTACCATCAAATATTCAAACCGGGTTTTGATGAGAATTCACTAGTCTCCACTAGATATTGATGGTATTCATGAGCCAATTTCCAAAATACAAATGACAGACTGACGTCATGAATCGAGATTACTCGTTGAAATCAGAAGTACAGCATTGGACTTTGAATGCATTTTATGGCCAATAATTTGTGTGATTTTTTTATGAGGGCCCCCCGATAGTTGAATTCGTTGCTTTCCAATGTCTGTTCTGCTTAGAGAGTCGGCATCAGTGGAATTTTTGTGTCACTTGTTTAGTGTGTTACGTCTTTCCTGATGCGATACAACTATTAATCATATACAATGTGCACGATGATATATGTCAAATAGACTTTCAATCCAATACACTCTTGACAAACTTTAATTCTGACTACTCGACTTATGGAAGTACTGATCAAAAGCCAAGCATGGTGCAAGAATATTTACATCACCTCATCTTACTAATACTACTACCCTACGGCTACGAGAAATCATAAACCAAATTACCCGAGAAATCCTTCAACAAGCTTGTCACCTTATTCTCCGACTGCAATAGCAACATATGTTAGTCACAACTCTCTCAAAACTGGCAAGAAGTCCCGAGCCTCTGTCTTTGCTTCTGACCAAGGGTCACAGACTGACGCTTAGCAAATGCTGGGTACAGAAGCTCCTGTAACTTCTCTAAAAACATAGCCCATTCTTCCTCATTCATATCTGCTAGCTTCACAAAGCTCACACTTACAGGAAGCTGCTCGTTTACACTCCTATGGCCCGATGATGAACCGGCAAGATAACCGTACTTGGGCTTTGCTCCAGAAAATTTTGGGAACTTATGGCTCTTCTCACTTAAGTCTGTATTTTTAAGCGACATAGATAGCTTTGAAACAGCCGAGATCCTCTCAAGGGCCGCGGCCCCAGTGAATTCATTTTCCGCCTCTTCTCCTTCACTTTCCCCTTCCTCTTCAATGGTTTCCTCTAGCTTAGAAAGAGGAGTAAAGGCATTAACACCTCCAAATCCAAAATTAGCCATGAAGTCCTCAGAGGCCAATTTTGGGGTGAAGTCAGATCCAACATCTTCGTAATCTATATCAAATTGAAATTCCTCACCATCAGCTTCAGCCTTGGGGGTCATGTCCTCGGCAATCAGCCATCTTGCCTCGATGCATATAACCTCAAGCTCACTAGGTTCCTCCTCACCATTGTGGAATTCCCTACTCATCATCTCACCTATATCAGCAAGGCAAAGCCCATAAGCAGCAGCTTCTTTAAGGAAAATTGTACAGAGGACCAGGGCACGTAGACAAGCCTCACGAATCATCGGGAGCTCTCTTCGCAGCATCTCTGAGTCCTGAATAGGATCAAGATTTTCTATATACTCAAGCTCATCATCTGAGAATGGTATTGAAGCTTGAGGCCAATGAATCCACTCAAAATACGGATCTTCCAAACTCTCAGGCAAGCAGAGGCCATGATCAATAGGAATAAGTTCCACTTGACCAAACCTCCCAACACCATCAAGCTTCCTAACTAAAAGATTACCCGCATGCCTGTCTGTGTTAAGAATCCTAATGTCTAATATCCCGATGCGATGCACGGAAGAAACAGGGAAACTTGAGGTTCCATGATCGCTGGCATCAAAATCGTGTGAAATGAACTGTTGAAAGGATGCAATCTTGCTGACAAGCTTCTTGCTCTGAGGCTTGTTACCATTCACACCATTAACATTGAAGATCGAGTGGGTGATTTTCACTAATGCCGTGGGTGGCACATTCGCGAAATGTTCATAGTCAAGAAGATAAGCAGCCACTTCTCTGTATCCCGTTTCTCCAACCCTCACTGTACGTTTTAAGCCTGGTTGCCCAAGAGCTTTGCCAACAAAGCCCTTCGGATTGTTTGGTGCAAAAGGTTCTTCATCTGTAGGCTTCACAATGGCGACAGTCTCACTTCTAATGTTTCTGAAATAATAAGCCCCTCCTAGGCCACTGCGAACAGGGAGTGGATCAACTCCATTCTTCATTGCCTTGACAATTTCCTCAACAAGCTGTTTGGTCTTGGCGAAGCAATTCGAGTGCCCCAATACCTCTATAGGGCCACTCTGATCCTTCTGTTGGATGTCTTTACCAGTGGGAGACAGACAGGGAGTTGAAGAGCTTCTGTGCATTACATTCCGTCTCAGAAGAAGTGGGGAGTCATTTCGAACGGCACTGAGGTCATTTTTCAACACCATATCACCAAATGTCAAACAACTTTCCTCAGCGGGAAAGTTCAGGGCAAGCTGCAACCTCCTCTTCACGGTATTTGCATTGTCACTCCGGTCTAACTCCATTCCTAGAACACAACCTGTCTCAGTTTGCACAAAAACACGTCTCCTTCCTGTTGGTTTCCCTTCGGTCCTATTGGTTCCATGGTACTCCCTGCTACCAAGCGGACTCTTGAAAAGTGCCACAGCCATCTGGGTCTGAACAGCGCTATCCAAGTCACAGGACATGAACAGAAGAGAAAGACCAACCCTGGTTCTTCTACAGAGATGGCGAAGGAAGAGAGAGTTTCAGTCACTCTCAATTGACCGCCAAACTCAGAAGACGATGGAGATAGAACCAGATAAGTATCTGATCCAATAATGATCATCAATCAGCAAACAAAGATTTAATCTGCTTCCGACCAACAATATTAGAAACAGAGAACGGCACTGATTTATTAGAACACAGAACCATAGAGTGCGAGAAATATCAGATCAGTACAGTGAGAGAGCCATCTGGTGATTTAGATAAAGCAACAAACAGCATCTGCAGACAAGAAAAGGACCATATCAAATCATAGATCAGAAAAATCATCCTCGGGTGGACTCAAATATTTAAAGAAACGGAGCATTCATACTCAAAGTAGCCACCTTTAATCATTCAAGATTCTTCACAGGATTAATAATTATCAAAAGTGAAGAAAAAAACACATATTACGAAGTGCTTTACACTCCGGTGAAGTTGTCCGCCTGCTATCAAGAACTGCTAGTCTCAAAATCACTATCAAGCGCGATGTACACGTAAGCCACTGAATATAATTTAACAAATTAATTAATTCTACACCTCTATGATTCTATCCATGAAATTACTAACACTTGACACATGACGACAAACTCAATCTAGTTATTCAAAGTAAAACCTTTTCACATATACTAATAAAATTCCTCCTTCGGGAAAATAAAACCAGTTTAATCCAATCAAATTAATTCAAGAACCAAACTGACTATATCAATCGTAAAAAATAAATCCAGATTGGATGCAATAGCTCACCTTGCAGCCGGATCCGAAGAATCATTTACTCTTTCCGTGGATACAAGACCGTTGAAACAAGAACATCGGATAAATTCGAACAATCCAAATGTTGAAAAAAAAACACCATCAGAATGGTCAAAGGTTAGGATTTGATCTCATTTTTTATCCGACAATACGTCCCTTCTG